CCGCCGTGAACCTTAGTCAAATTTAAATATAAAAACAATGACCTAACAGTTGGTATGAAACATATCAGAAAGAATACGACCCAGCAATAGGTTATATTAATAGAAAATGTCATTATAATTACCATAGAATTCTCAAAATGCTTACGAGGTTGAGGAAATCCCTGTAATATCAACTTACGTGTCGGTAGCCTGGCTTGGTTTAAAAATAATCTAAAAAGAGCATTCCTTTGCGTATCAAATCCATTGGAAGAACATGCAGATTATGCCGGAAAATTACTACATAAATAAGGCAAGTTGAAAATAGAAAAGCTAAAGTCATCCCGTTTGTCATGCAATTTAGTTACTTGGCCATTAACGTATAAAGTCAGTAAAAATCCAAATATGAAGCAGATTTAGCAGATTCACCTGATTTCTTAGACACTTCTATTATTTTCATTGTTGATTAACATTTTTTTCGTCGCCCGCGTGGCGCAGTGGTTAGAGCGTCTGCTCTAGAGTCGCGAAGCAAGGAGTTGATCGTATACTCTTTAAAACTATTTATCAATTTTTTTTTTTTTTTTTACAGTAGGAGGCAACTTGGATTGGATTTTTACACTTTGAATATTACTATACAGATAACACCTGAAAGGTGAATAAAATCTATAGAATATTTGCAAATCCAGGCGTTGAATGACAGATAATTTTACACAGAAACAGAAAACAAAAATTAACAAAATTGGAATATTAGACATACATGTATTCATTATGACAATAAATTTTGCCAGCATTATTAAATTGTTAAAGTCACTAATGCTACCTCCATACCGTAATGAGGTATAACAAATTTTTTTTCATGTATTTTAACAAATTTATAGGCAAACAGGATATTTTTCACTTTTTTGTGTTGAAGAATTTAATCATTCAGCAGTTAATTCGTTTTATCCCCGGTAATTTCATTTTGCATGGAAATGCACTGATTCATTGTAAGTTTAATCGGTACAAACTTTCCTTTTGATTTTAAATCTTTTAGCACTAAATATATATTTTATACTGCTCCTCCCGATCACCGCATATATCGAAATTCAAGAGAGATAATTCAAATTGAAAAACAAAATGATACTCAATATGATTATTAAATTTTTAAAATCTCTAGCCTTAATGTGAAGAGCAGGCAAGTAAAAAAACATTTATAAGTCAGATATTTCATTAACTATGTAATATTTCTTTTCTTTTCTTTTTTTTTTAATACATTTTTAACAGTGAAATACTTTCGATTTTCCCTTCACGAAGAGTGTTGTTAAATGATCGCTTAGCTATGACGTCTCAACCGCTCATCTATATGACACTATTTACAAGACAGGGGCAAATGGAAAATCAAAGAAAATGTAATAAACAGAAATTCAATATTATGTACTTGAAAATGGAATTCATTTAAGGAGGGATTCTTGTCTGGTTTCTGACTAGATGAAATATTCAAAGTATATTTGCTTGTATGTCTTATATATTTAGATGTAAGAGATTTAAAAGATCATATTTTACTTTCTTCATCATAATTGTACAACTTTAAATAGAAATGGTAAAATGAGTTTGAAATCTAGCAGGGACTATATTTTTGGCGGAACAGCGGCGTATGAAAATATCTCCTTTTCTGCTCCTCAAAATTACTAAAGAACAATGAATTTAGTTAAAATTTTTAAACAATCAAAGACGAAAAGAAAATTTCAAATGTAAGTAAAATTAATAATAATGGACTGAAGTTTTAAAATAAAATTTTAAAATTATAATTTAAAATTATTTTAAAAATAAATATGATTTTCCAAACAAACTACAATTTTGTTAACTTTTAAAAGATTCCGATCTAATTACAGATTTGAGCCAAAAATCATTTAAAAGTGGGTTTTTTTCTCTTAGTAAACGGTCAGAACTTTTTGTTTTTGTATCAATTTGTATATTTATATGACTACTTTACCATATGTAAAATTAAGAAAAATTTAAAAATGCGAAGCATATAAAAATAACTCCTATATCGTAAAAATCTAAGAAAAATAGAGGAAATTCGGATTAGCCAATATCTATTTTAGTATAATTATCTATGTCAATTTGGTAGTATCATCTGATAGACCCTGTATGGTAATATCTTTTTATGCAAAAAGAAGAACATTTAATTTTTTTGAAATAGAAGTTGGCATCGCATGATTGGCAACGGTATTTTTTTTATTCTTAAGGTCAAGGAAAAAGATAATGACCTTGACCTGACCTTGCTTTTAAAATAGAACGGTCAAATTTAATCTAATTGATACAATCACATAATGATATCATAATGTCTTCTTGAATCTAGGAAAATTTCATTAATTTTTAGATACAAGAAATTTGAAAAGAATCCCTCCTTCACTCGTGAGACAGGATTTCTGATACTTTCACTCGTCCTTCGAAATTTGTGAAAATATTGAAAAGCCTGTTCGTGAAATAACTTTCATATCCGACTACAAGACATTGTATATCTTCTGTTGTTCTTTTCCCTGCAAACCAGTGCCCTGCTCTGATGTTCTATTCGACTTTCAAGGAGATGTCAAAAATTTAATGACCATCAAATCATGACAATTTTCCAAAAAATATCACATTAAGAACTTCTAATTCACGAATTTATTATAAACTTCAATATTTACAGTGAAATAAAACCGAAATAGACAAAATGACACGAACATGTTTGTATATGTTAAAAAATAGAAAAGTAAAAGATTTAAAATGTATAGATGATAAACGCACTATATTGTCGGGAACTTGTGTTGACTATTCATAATAGTGTGGATGTGTGCCTAGTTCTAGTTTCTATGCTTTGTGAACCGATTTAATTTATCTAACTCTCCAGCACCAATTTGATAGTGAAAAGTCCATGATAGAAAAAAAGAACAAATAGGTGAAAAATTGACGGGAAAACTATTTTGTAACGTCACATAGACAAAAATGCCAATATTTTTCCCAATCAATAACGCATTTTTAGGTCACCTGAGTTTACTCAGGTGACGTATTGCTATCCGTTTCCGTCCGTCGTCGACCGTCATGGGTCGTGTGTTAACATTTAAACATTTTCAGCTTCTTCTCTGAAACCGCTTTCTTCTCTGAAACCAATTTCAACCAATTTTAGCATATAGCATCTATGGGTGAAGGAGAGTAAAAATTGTGAATTTCATCGCCCCTGCCCCCCCCGGGGGGGGGCCTGAGAGGTGAGGCTAACTCCATCAAAATAAATGCATTTATTCTTCTTCTTTACTCCTGGGCATCAAGCAGCCAAATTTTTGGCATGATTGTATTTGAGCATTGAGCCCTCATCCAAAATTGTGAAATTCATGGCCCTAGTGTCAGGGGTTCTGGTGTTAGAGCAGGGCTATAATGATTTGAAAATCTTCTCCTTTGCTCCTGGTTATTAAACGAATGAACTATGTACATAGTTATGATGATGAAGGATGCCTCTCCCAAAATTGTAATTTCATGGCCCCTTGTTTATAGGGGTTCTGGTGCTAGTGCGGAGCTCTAATGATTATATAGTGAAAATGAATGAATTCTTTGAAAATCTTCTCCTCTGCTCCTGGGTATTAAACAAATGAAATATTTACGTAGTTATGATGAGAAATTAAAGAAGGGCGCTTTTTCCAAAATTGTGAATTTCATGGCCCCTGGGTCAGGGGTTCTGGTGTTAGTGCGGGGCTCTAATGATTATAGAGTGAAACTGCATGAATTGTTTGAAAATCTTCTCCTCTGCTCCAGGGTATTATGCTGATGATCTAAGTATATAAGGGGGGGGGGGGGCTCTAATGATTATACACTGAAAATGAATTACAATGTAAATGCTTTGAAATCTGCTCCTTCGTATTAATCAAACATTTATGATGAATAAATGTGCTTTTTCCAAAACTGTGAAATGTGTGGCCCCAGAGTCAGGGGTTCCTGTGGGGTTGGGCATTACTGATTATTACTGATTAATGGAAATGCATTTTTTCTTTGTTCCCCTACTCTGCCTCTGGGTATTAAACAATCAAACTTAAAAACATGCTACGTGTATAGTTATGATGAGCAATGGTACCTTTTTCAAAATTGTGAATTTCATGGCCTCTGGTTTAAAACATGAACCAAATTCAATTGTTGGAAAGTTTTTACGTGAAACTCAGGTGACCTATAAGGCCCTTGGGCCTCTTGTGTTCATTCGAATTTATTTTATATAATACTTACAGTTGTGCACATTTCAAGAGATTTTCAAAATTGGACTATCTGGGCAAGGGATATTCTTTTACCGTACTATTTTTTTCTGTATGATTGATTGATTGATCGATTGTATGTTGTTTAACGTCCCTTTCGAAAATTTTCACTAATATACAGAGACATCACCATATACCGGTGAAAGGTTCCGAATTAGACCTAAACTTGGCACTCAAGGCCATCTAACAGTGGGGATTTTTATCGTGCCAACGCTTTCCATGACACGGGGCCTCAATTCTTAATGTTTCATCTGAAAGACCCGTGACTATCACTTCTTGACGAAGGAACAGTCACTACCTATGTTTATGTCTTAGGTTTCATGCGGCGCTGCGGACAAGAATCAAAACCGGGCCTCCAGATAATGAAGTGAGCGCCCTACCACTAGGCTACCGTGACTGTTCTGATTGATCTTATAATTAACGTCTTGCTCCTCCTATGTTTTGTGATTAATTATAATTTTACCAAACTTTCCTTCATAGAGTGTTTGGCAAGTGGATAGTGATATTACGACACTAAAACAAGTGCGTGATAAAAAGAAGATAATTTCTTTTTTCCAAAATGTGATCTCTTAATTCACTAATTCTATAAATTATTAAAAGGATATAGGAAATTCAACTTCTGTTTTTCATGGTTAAAATGTAAACATACCGTATTTCTCATAAATAAAGAAACGCAGGGCATTGAAATACAAATTGAAGGATAGAAAAACATCCCGCGAGAGATATCCGATGACTAAAGGGACAAAGGGTAGCAAAAAACTATTTTCTTTACAGAACTATTGCAAAATAAATAATTATTTGAGTTGCATAAATACTCAATGAACAGAAGAAGCAGAATCGATCGAACAATCTTGCTATATAGTTCCAGGAGCAGGATTCTAATGCTTCCTCCTTTAAATCCTCCCCAGAAGCAACCTTGAGCACATCTTCGGCTGAATTCATGTCACCCACTTTCTCTGTTTTGAAGCATAACAAAACGTTTAACCAATTTGGAACAGGTTTGGTTTCTTCAAATTGATGGATATTTGTACTGAGAATCACGCATAAAGTAACGAGTGCTCCTTCAGCGATGAAGCCTAGAAGTAGGATTCCAAGAATAGAGATGTGTGGCTCAGAAGATTCCGGAAGTTTTTCTTGAATGATTGTCAGGAATACCACGCTAGCGAGGAGCACTGTTACAGAAAACCCCACCCTTTCCCCGACAGTATTCGGAAGAAGGAACACAAATGACTGTAGGGTGGACACCAAGACCATAGGAAGAATAAGACCCACTATGTAGTAGATAGACCTTCGTTGCAAATGTAATCCAATATTTATTTCTAAGAAACGATTAGTCGTTTGCGAGAAGCACGTTGTGTCTTCGATTTTCCATAACCCACTTTCTTCATAATTTGATAAAATAACTTTAGAATTTCGAATAGTTATATTCATCCATTCCTCTCCAAAACTATAAGCATGAAACTTAAGCATGCAATACTGCTTATCAAATGGATAGTTTGTAACATCTGCGTCACAGATGACTTCAAAAGACTGTATAGGTGTCCAGCTGCAAGATCCATCACTTTCCAAAAAGATATTTACAAGTTTATTTCCGAGTCCAACCACGTCTTTATACGGGTTTACAATTACCAAGTCTGGTATCCATATTTTATGCTGAGATATAATTATTCTAGTAATATTTTTATACTCCAAAGGATTCCATGATAATCTATCATCTTTCCAAAGGGTCCTAAACAATCCATTAACTGTGAATTTACTGCTGGCCTCCACGAATTCCTTTATTGCAAACAGATGAAAAGACACGGATACGTTCACTGGATAATCCCTGTCATTTCCAGCTCGCAGTTCTTTATTGTAGTTTGTTAACAGATCTTTTAAAAGGAGGTCCTCATCGGTTACATTGTATGAATATACAGAATAGAAAATACAGAAAAGTGATAGTAACTTAGGGGTAAAACTAAGAGAGTTCATTGTTCATCAGCATGTATTAGAAAATTAATCCGGGGATTTATGTATGATCAATGTGGTCAAATGATTGTGCAACAACTGAAACAAGTGAAACAAGTTTTATATATAGCTAGAATATTTATAATGTTAACGCTTTTTAAGATATTTCCGGTGCATATCAGGAAAAAAAGTGCTTTAAAGAACTTGAATCTAAATAGGAGGATATCTCAATTCTGTGGCCATTATAAATTTACAATGAAATCGATTTATTGAGTTGACATTCTTCTGAAAGAGTACTGTAAAACAATTTTAACTAAGCTACTTATATATCTGCCGCTCTTGTGTAATATGGCACTTGGTTTACAAAAATCAAAACTGATCCAAGGGAATCAGACTTTTATTTACACTTTTAATAGTTGTTAATGTATCATTGAGTAGGAAAATTATCTTGATATTTTATTTAGACATCCATTACAGAGTTTTGTCAAACTTTTTTTTCTTTTGTTTTAAAACCAGTAGAAAAATAGTAGGAACATTTATTTGAAGTACACTCAGTGACGTGTACTGGAACTTGAATTCAGTGAATTCTATTGCTATCAGTTTTATATTTAGAGAAACAATAAAACGTATATTCGGCAGTTTTTCTTCAAGCCATCGATACATTTGAATCAAAAAACAATTCCATTTTTTATGTTAAAAAATGGAGTCACTTGTGATAACATTGACCGCAAGGTCTTCTGGCATTCCAGGGATGTATTATAGCATTAAAAGGTTTTTCTTCTTCATGCAAAATTATCACTTCCCTTGACTTGATAATTTAAGCTGTGAGCTTTGGAGCAAATTCTATTATAAATGAACATGCTTGAATTAATCTGTTTCGAATTTTTTTTTTTAAATTCATCTTTGATTATGACTATTTTTTACAAATATATTTCATTTGCATCAAATATGTGAAAGTCCACATTAATTCGCAGGGGGGTCATCGATCAACAGAGCTCGATTCAATTTTTTTTTTTTTATTTATTTATTTTTTTTTTTAATTTTTAATTTTTTTTTTTTTGAAGAGTTATTCTCTGTAACCACTTAACATGAATTACAACCTGACACCAGACACATATATCAAACAAAATTTGGTTGCTATGTGTCTTGGTGCCATGGTAACAGTCGGAAAATTTTGAACAAAAATTGAGATTTTCAGCTACGTTGAATCTTTATTGAGCCTTAATAAAGACTTACAAAAACAAACAAACCATTCTCACGAAAACATGACACCTTGTTGCCACTTCTGCTATAAAGAAACTATTTAGAATATATCTCTAAGTAAGTGATAACCATGGGCACATTTGGAATGCATTTTAAATGCAGAAAAATACTGAAAAATGCTCAATATTCACTAATGATAAGTGTATCATGATAAAACTCGATCAACAACTCAAGAAAAACAATAAAAATATTTGACTTTAAGCAATTAGGTATTGGCTATAATTTCTAAAAATAACTTTCATGGTTGTCATGGTAAAACAGTGTAGCCATACAAAAGTTTTAGCTAAGTTTTGGTTAGTGCTAAAAACACAAGGAAAAGCATGGAAATTCAAGATTGTTCAATGTACATGGTTAGGACCTTGTAACACAAGTAACAAAAGAAAACCAAGGATTAAATGCTACTTTGCAGCGTAACTATGGACACAACGTAACAGTGGTTTAAAGTTATAATTTTTTTGTTGCTTTAGGAATTAAGTTACCTTTTAATCAAGAAACCTATTATTTGACTTATCTTGAATAAAACTTAGATCTATCTGATAGAACTAAAGTTGAATATCATACATTTCAATTTGTAAAGTTTGATGAAGAAAATAACTATTGCAATGGTTACCAAGAACGGAAAATGTTCGATTTTGCTCACGTTATAACAATATTAAACCCCATATGGTAGCTTCTTACATCCAGTTAGATATTGAGTGGTCGTCAAATTTAAAGTCAGGTTAGTTGTTCATAAATATAATTCATGAAAGTTTGGGAATCTACATACATGGGTACGTATCCGAAGAAACAAAATATTTTTTTCAGCTTTTTATACATATTTTTTTGTTCTACCCCCCCCCCCATCCAAGAGAAAACAAGTGTGTGAACGGAGTCCATTCAATCCGTGAACGCAAAATTAATTTAAGCTAGTTTAGAAGTAATAAATAATTATACATATTTTAGGAATCAAGTAACATAATTTTGTTTGCAGATATTGTGATTTCTTGCATGAATAAAACTTCCACTCTTGGAGATAATGCAGAAATATCCACAAGGCAGTCACTATTTTATAACGGAACGTTGAAGCAAGCTTTTGAGAGGGTACATGAATATGTGTAAGTTATATTACTAGATGTGGAAATATTGAAATGTTGCTGCGTCTTGTTAATTAAGATAAAGTATTTTTACCAATTCTGTTGACAATTAAAAAGTAACGAGCACACATTATAGAACCTTTTTCTCTCTTTACTAAAATTCTTCAAAACTGTCTGTGCGTTATGAAAACATTCACAAAACAATATCACATTATACAACATAACGTTATAATAGGCACTGTATCGGTGTGATGAAACATGTAGTTGGGAGAAATAATTTTACAAACCATAAACATCTGAATTTATAATAATGCCATCTGTGGAGTAGATTTGTTACATAGTTTTGAAGTGGCCTGGTACAGGATGATGCCTGGTTATTAGATTTTATTCCTGACTCGGATTCGCATCGCCTGGTATACAATTTACTAACTAGATACATGTATCATCCCGTACCCGGTCACTACAAAACTATGTAACCAAAACTATCCTGTCGGATCCTTCATGTCTACAAATACACAGGTGTTTGATCACTTGATAGCACAAGGCATTGGGATACACATAGCAGGATACTAAAAAATAGAGTCCACGAGCAATATCCATCGCATAAAGGGACTATAGATTACAAAAAAATATATATTCTTCACAAAACTATGGCAAAATAGATAAATATTTGAGTTGCATACAAAAGCAAGGAACAGATGAAGCAGAGTCTATCGAACAATCTTGCTATATAGTTCCAGGAGCAGGATTCTGACCCCTCTTCCAATGAACTCTTCCCAGATGCAACCTTCAACTCATCTTTGGCTGAATCTTTGTCACTCTCTCTTGTTGTTTTTAAGCAAAACACCATCTTTAACCAACTTGGCACAGATCTGGATTCCACAAACTGATGGATGTTAGAACTGAAAATCACGCATAAAGTAACGAGTGCTCCTTCACTGATGAAGCCTAGAAGCAGAATCCCTAGTAAGGAAATATTTGGCTCAGAAGATTCCGGAAGTTTTTCTTGAATGATTGTTAGGAAAACCACACTGGCGAGTAGCACTGTTACAGAAAACCCCACCCTCTCCCCAGCATCATTCGGAAGAAGGAACGCAAAGGACTGTAGGATGGAAACAAAAGTCATAGGAAGAATAAGACCCACTATGTAGTAGATAGACCTCCGTTGCAAATGTAATCCAATAATTATTTCTAAGAAACGACTAGTCGTTTGCGAGAAGCACGTTGTGTCTTCGATTTTCCACAACCCACTTTCTTCATAATTTGATAAAATAACTTTAGAATTTCGAATAGTTATATTCATCCATTCCTCTCCAAAACTATAAGCATGAAACTTAAGCATGCAATACTGCTTATCAAATGGATAGTTTGTAACATCTGCGTCACAGATGACGTCAAAAGATTGCATAGGTGTCCATTTACAAGATCCATCACTTTGCAGGAAAATATTTACGAGGTAATGTCCGAGTCCAACCACTTCTTTAAACGGATTTACAATTACCAAGTTTGGTAGCCATATTTTATCCTGAGATACAATTATTCTAGTAATGTTTTTATAGTTGGTTGGATTCCAGCATAATCTATCATCTTGCCATTGTGTCCAAAATACACCATTTACCGTGAATTTACTGCTAGCCTCCACGAATTCCTTTATTGCAAAAAGGTAGAAGGCGATTGATACATTCACTGGATAGTCTCTGTCACTTCCAGCGCGTAGTTCTTTATTGTAGTTCGAAAATAGGTCTTTCACAAGGATATCCTCATCGGTTACATTGAAGGAGTTTGTTGAATAGAAAATGCACAAAAGAGAGAGTAACTTGGGGATAGTACTCAGATGGTTCATTCTTCAGCAGCTTGTATTTAACAATTTGTTCGAGGATTTGCTTATTATTAAGGTATTCAAAAAGGTGTATTTTATAACTGAAGCAAGTGAAGCTTTATATGTGGCCAGAATACTTGTAATGTGTGATGAGTTACAACAGGAGTGTGTTGTAAAGAAAAGCATTTGAATCTAAATAGGAAAGGGAATCTAATTTCTGTTGCCATTAAAATGTTACAATGACATCTGTTTATTGACGGGACATCCTAATAAAGACTGTTGTAATAATTCCATCTAAACTGTTTATATAACTGCTTCTGTAAAATGGCCATTGGTGTGCCAAAATCAAATCTAATACAAGGAATGGGACTTTTATTTACAGAGATAATCGTTGTTGATGTATTACTCTTAACAGATGAACAAACTTGATTGTCGTTAAGCATCCATTACCGGTTTTTGTTGATCTTTTTATCTTCTCTATTGTTTTTGAGAAGTAGGAAAATATTACTGGAGTTAAGTTGAAGTTAACGTAAGTGAACAAAGAAATGGGGTAATTAGAACGTGCATGAATTCATTGTGTTCTTTTAATGTAAGTTTTGTTATTAAAATATGAAGATAACGAACAGCATTCAAGCTCAATAGTCCATAGAAACAATGCAAATTTGGAGCAGAGAAAACACTGACCTCTAAAATCAGTAGGTCGGATAATGTGCCATGGAGAAGTAAGCATCCCCTGTCGACCGGTCACGCCTGTCGTGTACTCCTTGTCATGTTCAGGTAAATGGAAAATTCTGTAGACAATTCAGTGTGAAAATAATGGCCTAACAATTGGATAAGCCTTAGAATAAAAAATGGCTGGGTTTTTTTGT